GCATGAATATAAATTACAAATAGGGTCGACTCAACTCATTACCTAATTAAAGCATTTATTTAATTAAGTAATTCTAAATGTTAAACAAATTAAAAATTTTTATTTACAATGTTTTGTAATGATACTTTTTTTGGTTTCGCGATACCAAGCTTGTTGACGCGAATTTGCAAAACAATTATTGGTCATCCAATCAAAATTATCTTTTCTGATACATTCGATATTCCACATTCTAACCACAGAATTAAATTCTCGGTAATGTATGCTAAAATATCATTTTCGGCATATAACGAACATATTACTTAATTTGCTGCGAGAATAATAAGGTTTATTTATTAATTCTTCTTAAATTAGGGAACAAATGAAGATCTTTTAAGTCAAGAAAAACAAACTGTCATGAAATTTATTTTGAATATATAGAATGATATCGTAAATTAGCTAATTGTGGCTTAGGTGTTGATTTTGCCGTCATCTATTATAAATTATAATTCAAGATCTTGCGGGCAGCATACATATAACACGCGGTAATTACCACGCATGCATAAATTATATTAAACGCAAAAATTCGCACTTGAGTTAGATTCCATTTTTCAAGATCTGTTTCAAATTTACCACATGTTTAGATAATAAATCTTCGATCCAGTAAATCTTCTATAAAATGAGAATTCCATAGTACACTATAAAATGTGCATGTACCTACAGTATTTTAATTAGTATAAAAATATTTTGACTTATTTAGCAATTTGAATTTATAAAGACGACTTGTTTTTCTGTATTACTGTAGCACAATTGGGTTTAGGTCAATAGCGAGATACAACCCATTGTACAACGTCCTAACGTTAAGTAATAAATAATGTTTCAATTCTAGTATTACTATCATATAAAATTTCTTTTATTATTTATATAGTAGTGCTTGATATCATTTTAATGGGCTCCCTCTTCTTTTCTGCTCAACAACGAACTTAAAAATTTTTAATTGCTTTATAAATGCTTCTATCTGACGATTCTCTTGCAATCTAAAATTATTCATTTAAAAGAGCATCTTTCTTTCTTTTTTTTTCTTTTTTGTTTTTGAGTTCTATTACATTTAAAACTCTTTGATTAAGCGGATCATTCAAAGCTATTAATCGGTGAAAAAACAACGACTTCTTGATATAATATATATGATAATCAAAAGTAGATAATGATCATATAACTTATTAGGTGACGTCAAGTAAAATAATAATATATATATATATATGTCAAAGCCATTCGATTAAAAAACGCAGAAACAGAAAAGGGAAAAAAAAAGAAAGATTGTGAATAACAATAATTCACTTCCATCATATTATTTTTAAAATCTCATGCATTACAAAAAACTTTGTCATCATTCAAATATTCTAAATTAGGCGCATATATTCATATTTTCATACAATTTACATTAGTGGAGTCTTCTTAAAAAAAACAAAAAATTGCTTGTTCTCATAGACAAAACCTTTCGGATCCTCCTACTTGTCGAATCTTAATTAAAAACAAAAAAAAAAAAAATCTCCTTTTGCTTACAATGAGCTTATTCATATTGGACGACATGATTGTTGACGAATCTGGTGATTCCCACAAACGTGTAAAAATAACTACTGCTTGCGATACTTGCAGGAGGAGAAAAGTTAAATGTGATGGTGCTTCCCCATGCGCCAATTGTCAACGAGGAGGTTTGGTTTTCATTTTCATTAAATTTGCAACGTCTCGTTAATCTGTCGTCAAATGCCGTGAAGATCAATCTTTTGATTGGAGAATTCTATTGTAATCGGTATAAATGGACATGTACTGAACCAATGAGACAAATGTTAACTGTATCAATAAAAACTTTATCACTAAGTAAAATATATGTACATATACACTTATATAATATTTTTAGGTTATCAATGCACGTTCTCGGATTCGTCTTCAAAACGACCCAGAGGTCCTCCTAAAGGATTTGTCGCATTGATAGAAGATAGATTACATACTATAGAATCTCTTTTGGTTAATCTCGTTAATAAAGACAATAATAATGAAATTAATAAAGAAATCAAACGGGAAAGAGAAACAACAATTGAAGAGACAACAACTAGTACACGACAAAGGTTCTCAACTTTTAAAATACGACATTATTCCCCCTCAAATACTATTGCAACTACAAATCCACAGCACCATTTATTCATTCCATCAACGCCTCCCGCGGATGCGACTGGATTTTCCGAATCACCAACTTTAGTTACCACTTATAGTGATGAATTAGCTAGCGATGATGAAGATATACTTCACCAAAATTTGATTTCTCCAAATGACGCAAATAGTTTACAAAGTTGTAATCTTTCATTTCTCATCAATTCAAATCAACCTACCGGCTCTTCATATGTCGATCCTCCATTACCAACTTCTATACCACAACTAAATAAAGCCTTGCCTTCGGATGTCGCTCAAACGTTATTGGAAAAATATTTTAACCATTTTCACCCATATTTTCCTATTATCAACCGAGCAAAATTTTTCAGGAATTTATCAAATCCTAATGTCGAAGACCAGCCTTCTCCTTTGCTTCTTAATGCTATATATTCTGTTGGTGCTTTATTTCCCCCGGCACTTCCGGAGTCTTACAGCCCGGTAACTTTTTATGATCGAGCACGAAGTAAGTATCTAATTGATGTCTTATTTTATTTTATTTTTATTATGAACTTTTTTTATAATAATCTTTGCTAATATCGAAATTTTCTAGATATGTTGGACTTTTTTATTGATGCACCTAGAGTGTCAACTGTTCAAGCATTAATACTATTGTGTATGGTTGACCAAGGAAAACCAACTTCGTACAGACCTCAAACTTATTCTTCTATGGCTATCAGAATGGCCCAGAGTATGGGATTGAATCGAAGAAATGGTCCTGTGTATCAAGGCAAAGGTCGTCAAACAAAAAAACTTGTATGGTGGGGATGCTTCATAGTTGATAGGCTTAATAGTCTTGCTACAGGAGATCCTCTGGCAATTAATGATAGAATGTGCGACATAGAACTTCCTTCGCCAGATGAAGTGGATGATCAAGATGATGATCAACAACAGTCACCTCAACAACAAAATTCACATAGTTCAACTTACACACAACAAATAAACATTTTTGTTAATTTTATAAGACTTGCTCGATTAATTGGCCAAATAATCGAGCATTTACAATCAACTTCTTGTATGGGAATGTCTTCATCTTGGACTCATCATCTAATGATTTCTAACTTTGAGAATTCACTTGGAGTCTGGCAACGGGAATTACCTCACTATTTACATTACTCACCTTCACCACAACATATGCCACTTCCAGGACATATAGCTTCAATTCATATGCACCATCAGACCCTCCATTTGATACTTCATTACCCTTATATAGCAAATAATAATGCTAGACAATCTAATACACGAATATCTAAAACATATTTTAAATCTTTGAATATTTGTACGACAGCAGCAAATATCATAACACATATAGGAGGTACATTATAACATTATCTGATCTATCGTATTTAATTCAATTAATTAATTACATAAAATTACTCACATAAATTACTCATCACAAAAAAAAATTTTTTTTTTTTTTTCTTTTAGTTGAAGCATTAAATAATATCAGTGTGTGCATAACATTTCCAACAATGTTTCATTGTTTAGCAAAAGCAGCAAAAGTTCACGAGATCAATGTCGCGTCTTCACAACGAGCGTTAGCCATACCATCATACAAAAACATTTTAAAAACGATCAAGATTTGTCAATTTTATCAGCAAAATAACATAATGACAGAATTAGCTGGTCAAACAATCAAAGCTTGGAACAATATT